TATATTAAAAGAAGGTCTGTCCTAAGGCGCTTAGTAGTTTTTGATTCTGGGAAAGTGGGAACAACAGTTCCCCAAAGCTACTGTATCTCTGAACTCTGTCTTTAACCAAATCCCACATTTAGGCTGCCTGGATGTGATCTCCTTTTGATCACTACCAAAATACTAATGTAATATTGTTTCACTTCCATCTGTACTGAGGAGTACAAAGCATGGCCTACTGTGCCTATATACTGAATTTCTTACAGATTTAATATTTTACTGGTGGTCCAAGCAGTGAAGCCTTATAGTTTTTGTTCTTATTATGCGTTCACCTTTTTCCTCGGCTAAAACAGTTGGTGCAGATGGCACATACGATTTACCTCAAGATGGCGCAGTAACAGTTACGTTTATGCTATTACAATAATCTTGTGTACGCTTGGCTTTGCTTGGAGTCAAAATTATTTCATTCTTTTAAACTCTCAAGTCATCTGCATCTGGTCTTCTGCTCTAAAAATGTCAGATATTGCGATTTTTGGCAATCTGCTTGGACCCTGATCATTGCCGACTTCTCCGGCCCCGCTCTGAGGTTGACATTTGTGGTTATAATTGAATTGTTATGATTGATCCCATCCGCCTCGGCTGTACTTTTACTTGGTGCTCATAAGCAAATGTTTGCATGCTAACATGCTAAACTAAAATGGTAAAGACGGAAAAAAATACCTGCTAAAGATCAGTATTTTAACATTGTGACTATAGGAATTGTTAGCATGCTAAAATCAAAATGTATCTCAAAGCACCTCAAACCCTACGTAAAGCCTCACAGAGCCGCTGTAGACTCTTGGTCTTGTTTGAGGAAGAATCCAAGCTGTACACTGACATCTTAGTTTAAGAAGAGTTTAAAGACAGACCCACACAGACAATGTTTTGTTGCCATCTTGCTTCTATTATTCATGTCCGAACGGGATGTTTAGGGAGGAACATAATGTGGGAAAGGAACGCACACACTAAACACCGTAAACACCCTCTGTAGTGCTTTGCAGTGGGCCTGCAGGGTCTCCATTGACCAGTCTCAGCAAGGGGCAAAAGACCACAAATAGGGTTACTATTAAATTACTTCATGTTCATCAGCAAGAAGGGTAGGCAAAGCAGTCCAAGATCTCATGTTGCTTGCTTTCTCAATCTTTTTACATGTCAACTTTTCATGTCATGTGATGACAGTCCTCCTCCCACCACCGTGGACTATAGGCTGTTAAACCGCTTTTACACTACATCACATTCACCCATTCCCACACTGAATTGGAGTGGGTAAAGTGCCAACTGCCATCAGAAACACACATCCACACACTAATGGAACATCTTACCCAAGGATACTTCAGCAGGCACATGGGGGGAGCCAGAGAAGCCCTATAGTAACATTTCTTCCAGACATCAAATAATGTGGTGGTGTGTTATTAGATACTGAATCGTCTTGGGCAGGTTCCATTGCATGTTTTTATTATGCAAATCAACTCACAGTTCAAGCATCAGTCACAATGGGGGGCCTGGGTGTGACATCAGTTGTTTGGAAACACCAAAGGGTTGAATTACCTTGTTTTTGAAAACCTTCTGGGGAAATTCCATGTGCAGCTGATCATATCAAATATTTTTGCAGACGAAGCTTGTTTGGAAAATCATCATCATCATTAATCAGCTTCAAATTTAAAAAATTAACTGGCAAAGAAACGTGTTGCCAACATCTCCTTTTTTACCTTGACACCTAGTTTGAACATGCCAACACGCTAGTTAGAAACATAGCTTTCTATAACAAGCAAGTATTCTCATTATGATGATGGGTTTCATCCACAACTAGAAAGAAGAAAATCTGAGAATCTTCCCTGATGTCTGATGGTTAGGTGGATGAAGAAATGATAACCGAATGCAACATCCTGAATGTCACTTTGGTTAACCAAACCTGTCTCCAGCTCTCTTTACTCAGAACATTAATCCTATTATTCAGCTGGTGTAGTTCTTTCATGTCTCAGCTCTGGAAGGCACAGGCATCACATGATTGACTGTAACAAGCTTCAGGACTGTCTGTGTACATAATGAATGATTATTAATACCTTGGTAATGGTTGTCATGCCTTCTGACTAAAGAAAACCATTGTTGTTATGTGTCATTTCTGTGAATGCATTTACAGGCAGAATCTGTGCCTGCTGCATTTTAGCTCTGTGGTTGTTAATAAGCCTGTTCTTTTGTCAGCTGTCTATTTGTCAGTGTAATATAAACACAATATGAAGGAACATTTATGTTTTATGCCTGCCAACAGTGTAATCCATCTCTTGTCTGGTCGCAACAGAAAATAAGGGTATAATTGTCTAATGTATACAGAGGATGATAGGATCAATTAGCAAGGTTTTATGCATATAACATTCATAAGTAATTAATTCAGGCTTCCAAGCAAAATTGCTGTGATCACAAGTGAGATATGAAATTGCCCCTACAGTTATGGATCCTGATAATGACCCGTTTCAGCCAAGTCTAACGGAAGCTAATGACTCTGCAGCTACAGCACATAGCGCTGCATAATATGAGACTGTTCACCAGAATAAACCTGGGCTTTGTTATTTTCTGTTCTGTAATCTGAGAATTTAAAGAGCGACTCAATAACTGTCTCTGGTTAAAATTTCTAATGAGTAAAACTACTAGGTGTACTCTGTCATCTCTACATGTAGAGACCATGTCAGGGAAAACATTCAAGCAAACATTCTTGCAGCATATTTATTGGAGATTCCAGTAAAGATAGGAGGAGGCCCGTTGGTTCCTTAGATGCTACGTCTTTTACTTTTCTCCAGAGACTTGACATTTTTGTCGGGAGCACATTTATTTTTTTTACCGTCACCTGTTCAGTGACTTGCAGTGAGAGTGACTGTGCTGAAGTAGAAAGAGGGTTGTTGTAGGGGGTGTGTCAGAAAACTCGAGCAGAAAAGTGCAATTTTGATTTATGCCTGCATCACCTGTCCATAGTGGTCGTGTCTTGTTACCTCCAAACCTATGGGTTCAGAAAGCTGCAGGTTTTCTTAGGTTCATCAGCACAACTTGCCAGTGCTCACATCCTCATTTTCAGATACAGTAATTCAAAGCAATGTTTATGGGTGTGGCCTTGTATTACTTATAGTGTGGGGGCATGCATGTAAATCTCTTAAGACAGTCACATTGTGGGTACTCGCCTTCCTTTTGGGGACAAATTGCAAGTCCCCGTAACCTACATCATTACATTATAGGGTGAAGACTTCGGGTAGGGTTGGCAAGTAGTGGTTAGGACTAGGCTAATGTTGCGTTCCATTTGACATGGGAAGTCCGAGGAAAGTCGGGAGAACCTCATGAACCCTGACCTCAAAATCCAAGATGGCTGCTACCAGAATCAACAGTAGTTAAAGCTTTAGTAATCTACCCTTCATCGCACTTCTGCCTTATTTGTCTCATTAAATCAGACACACACATTCCTGTCCAACTTATCTGTAGACATGTGCAATATACAGCATAATGTGTTATCAGCAGATATTGCTAACAATGGCTAGAGGCATCAATCATGACTTTCCCCACTTATGCGTTCTACTGGAACACTGTCAACTTGGGTGCGATGTCATTCCCAGCTCTGACCTCCAGGATAAATGGAGCACCATAAGTCTCCAAGAAATTAATGTAAGACACTAATGTTCTCTGAAGTGACGGAAACCGAGTGTGTGGCCATGTATGCGTGTCTGAATCTGGGAAGTGAGTGTGTTAGCTTTCATTTCATATATAGTCCAGTACATTACATTTTGTTGTTCATTTATTCACACCAGGCACAAAAGGACATAGTTGGAACTGGACTGTGAGAAGCCAAGTTTAGCATAAAGACTGCAAGCATGAAGTAAGAGCTAGTCTGGCTTTCTCCAAAATTAAAATAAATATGCCTTCCCACATCTTTAAAGGTCACTAATAAATACAGTGTCTTGTGTTTGTTTAATCCATACGCAAATAGAACTGTACAACATAATTATTTTGTATCACCATTGATTAAGAGGGGCCTCAATAGATTTGCAATCGGGTCCAAAGTCTCCTGAGCTTAGCCTGAGAGGTTCGTCTGCAGTGGGAATGCACCGGAGGAAATATTTGCTATACAGAGCTGCTGCATGTCAGAATTGAAATGTTATAATGGAATTGCCTCCCAGGGCCATGCTATGTAGTGACAGTCCAACATCAGAGCTAGATGGATGTTTACTGCTGTTTGGACACAGTGGAGGGATGACTGATGTACTTGCAGTCAACCTGTTGATCAGCGTGTAGTTGTCCACGGTATTGGTCATGGATTCTGTGCTCCTGACTGTGAATTAATCTGTATTCTAGAGGAAGTCAGTCATTTTGTGTCTTTGAGTGTCAAAAATCTGGGTTCTCTCTAGATTTAGTGCATCTACAGTGCTTACTTATCTCACGTGAAAAGAAATTAAAAGGGTATTACTAACAAAAAAAAATAAATAAAAATGTTGTAAGGGCTAAAATAAATGTTAGGTTTATTACAATTAAAAAAATGTTTATAAGTTTAAAACAGCTTAACTAAAACCCATGTGATGCTACATTTAAAAAAAATAAAAAAGCTAAATGAGAAAAATGTTCCTGAGTGAGGCCCGAGTGGAAGCGCGTTGGCAGACACCGGCTGCTGCGGTCGTCTACCCGTGTTGCTCCTGGGTTTCACCACATGCGATAAAAGCACAAACGCAAATAACACGCAAAAAACACATTGCAAAGCTAAAATCATAGGCATTTTCTAGCCCTGCCACACTTACATCAGTGATGTTTCAGAAGTCAGTCAGATGATCTCAGTTATACTAAGTATCTGAAAGCGAATCCCTTTGCTTTTCTAATCTTCTACTCTGAGTTTATTTAAAGTTGACATCAGATAGCAGTCACTCCAACCAATGAGATTATTCCTGTAGCTCTGCACTTGACAAATGTGTGCTTACCAATTTATATAAAATGAATAGTGATCCATACACTTCTTACATCCACATACCCATTTTTATTTGAGTCAAGTGTAGCAAATTTCACATTTTAGGGCAAATGTCCAGTTATTGTGGCCCATCTATGCTGAAAGAACACTGGGAAAACACTGGTGTCTCCAGCAGGCATAGTGAATATTCATCTATTAAACAATCACATTTTTATCAATAAGCCAGATACAAACAATTTCAAGTAATATATATATATATATGAACCTCTCCTCTATACCAATTCTTATGGGTTTTATTCCTGCTGTTACTATACATTAATACTCATACTGTATATGACTATAATGCAAACAATAATATAAATATCAAAATGCTGCAAAAAACAGGATGTCCAGGAAATTACAGCATACAGATAAACATAAAAATACAAAGAAGGCACTTAAGAATATCAGATACACACGCACACATATGCATATATGTACACAAACAGTATATTAAAAAAATCAGATACTTGAGCCCATGTTATCACACAATTCACCTGAAGTTATTTTTACAATTATATCAGATACACTTGGCTGTGGAGCAATGTAGAGACCTTATCAGCTAATGATGAGCAAGGCCTTATCCTACAGGAAGAATTTTAATTGATGCATCATTGCTGTTTTACACCTCACATGGCTTTTGATTTCACAGAGAGCTATTGCAACCAGGAACTCAATTTTCTGTGTTTGAAATGATACCTAGAATTAATTAAATATCCCTAAAGTCCCTCTTGGCTGACTAGACAGACCAGGACACACTTCCAGATGTATCAGGCTGGAATTGGTTTTTTATTTAAAAAAACAAAACAAAAACACAAGCAATGTGATGCTGTCAACCTCTTAAATGAAGAGGGTGATGAAAGATGTTTTTAACATCTCAGAGGTGAGAAATGCAGAAAGAAACCTGTCTTCCTTCCTTGAGCACCTGCTAATCCAAAATAATTTGTCTGGCTTCAGTGGAGAGTTAAATTACTGAAGCATTCTTCATGCTAATTAAGTGGCTTTTTCACCCACATCTGAGTAAAGTTCTAGGGGATGTTTTTGTGGGGTATTTTTTGCCATGTAAATGAACAAAATTTAAGAAACTGAAAATCTGACAAAAATATCAGCTGCTACTCTTCTACAAACTTCCCCCTAGAAGCTTTAGACTCTCATATTCAGAGGGATAACGCCAACAGTATCACAACTATGTGTAGCCTGGTTGAAATTATTATTGCAAGGTTAGGCAATAACACAACATTCACAGCAAGTTCTCAACTTTTGTGGATGTTATTTTGAAATCGACAATTTGGAGAAACCTACAGCGCTTTCAACAGGAAGACACAGATTGTCAAAAAAGTGCAACACACCACGCATCACTTATCTGATCGCATTGACTTCAGTCACAGTTCACATCCAATCAACTTATTTACTAAAGCATAGGGGGCTTTCAGGTGACACAGCATACTCTGTGGCAGCCATGTTGGAGGTTTTCTGCTATTGACAGCAAAAAACAAAAAAAACAAAGCATGGTTCTATTTTACTAATGATACACTGATGATTTTGTCAAAAAAGTGTCACTGTTAGCCTCGTAGGGCTGCCACCTTTTTGGTTGAAATTTGAACTACCATTCCACTGTAGGAAAAACTGAATATTCGATCTGTAATCATCTGTGGGAATTCAATATTTATAGTTACAAGAGACCATACAGTCATGCATAAAATGCAGTCTGATCCATTGCATGCCCTGTTGGTCTCAGTAAACTATTGTTGTTGACTTTGTCAACACAAAATTGAGGAAACAAGCGAGCTGCACTGAATGATTCTGACACAAAACCATCTTTAAAAAATGATGTGGAAGCATTTTGAATTCAACACCATAGATTGGATAATTCTTTTTTTTTTTTTGTTGCCAGCACTTATATTCCCACAACAACACATCTGATGTTACCTGTTAGCTTGTTACTTGAATGAGGCTGTACAGGCATAGCAAATGCAAGGAACGTTCTTCGTTCTTATTGATCAACAGATGATTTGATGATTAGGCTACATAGAATGTATTTGAATTATTAGGTGCTAGTTCTTATTTATTCAAAATGTACGTTTTTAATTTAAAGTGGCAGGCTTAAACCACGGTGGTTTGCTAAACTAACCACTGCTGCTAACACTAGCTAGCTGATGTAGCTTTATTTGTACTAACAATATATCTCACAGAGACTAACATTAACAGTAGAGGTTAGCATTTTAACTCTAAATTAGCCTATTGGCAAGTTATCCAGCCAAAAGTTTGCCATTTTGTTTTGAAGTAGAGGCTAGGGCTACGAAAGAGATCGTTTACTGTCAAAGTAACTCAAATTTTGAAACAGATCTTATTATTGACATAGCTCCCTTTGCTTTGAAAGTGTGACAGGCATCTTTACTTATGCCAGTTATAGTTTACAAGAGAGTAGTGATGTCACTAAAAAGCTTCTCTATTCTTAACAGTTTCTTAGATATAATTCACTAATATGTCATGTTTTTTTTTGCTCTAGAGTTATGTACAATTTTCAGAGGGAGCGGCTACCTTCACACAGTTAAATATTGAGTTGTCCCTGCTATTACTAATATCAGTGAGGATTTCAAGTGAATCTCAAAACATATGGTTTAAATGTATTGCTATGACAAATTAGCTCACCCCTGCCTTTTCATTCTTTCTCTCTCTTTTGCGATCCTTATGTCCTTTCACAGAATTTAGAAAACAAAAAAACCCAAAAAATAATAATTTCCCTGACCTCCCTCTTCACATTATAATTTTCACTTTAGAGCACCTGTAAAAAGTGAGCTTGTTGCTCAGTGGAGCTCCAGCTACAATATTGAATAAGCAGGACTCCCCCCCCCAAACCATCGCGAGACAAACATACAAATCAGGGCTTCAGTCTCACCACAGTATCACCATATTTCACCCCTGCCACAGTTCAAGATCAAAACATTAAATAAGGCAATATTCAGTCTAAGTTGTTTTGTGATCATAGCCCTGATGAGGAAAAGCCTTGCAACACACGTTTGGGTCTCTACTGGATTAGATGGTTTGGGGATTTGGTCCAAGGCGAGTTTGTTTAACAAGGATATGACACAACCCCCCCCCCCCAACAACCCTAGTCCCATCCCATATTCAATACAGTGAAACTGATTTATCAGCAAAGAAATAACATCATGGTTGTTTATGGTAAGCCCTTAACCCTGTAATGATTCTAATGACAGATTAGTCATTACCCTAAGTTTCTGTGTCCTATGGGGTTGTCCAGAAGCAGAATTAAGTTCTGGCATAAATGTATTTTTTCTTTACAATTAAACTAGTTAGTTTTCAAAACAGCTGTTTTGTTTTCTGCCTTTCAAACTTCATAACAATCTGACCCCCATTCCCTACAAAGGAACAACCTCATTGTACTCGTTCCTCTCTCCTCTAGCTCCCGCCATCATCAACGCTCCCTCCAGTCCAGCCATACTGGAACCAAGTCCTGCGCAGCCCTTCAGCCCTCCTCCAGCCAGGTCCTGGCACGTCATGGCATCATGGGAAGACACAATAATCCTGCTACTTGCACATATTGACGTGGTGCTCTCCTCCCCCCTCCTCTGTTGCTCTGGTGTTGGAGCAGGTGCTCTGATCCCACTACTTCCAGCACCTCCACTACCTCCGACACCACCACCTCCCCTTTTAGGTGGCCCCCACAGGAAGGCATGGGCAGGCCTGTAGTGCTGGCGAGCGTAGCGGAGCAGGCGTCTGCGGGTGGCGGGCAGGCGAATGGTGTAGACATAGTACTCCAGGACGCTGTGCTTCATGTTGGGAATGGTGTTGTGGCACAGCGACTCCTCCAGGAACAGACGAGCCAGCGGGGCCTTGAAGGCCTCGTAGCCAAGCTCGCCCAGGGACTTCAGGATGCGAGTGATCCGCAGGTAGTTGTGCTGGGACCTTGAAAAAACAAAGCAGGATGTGAAAAGGTTTGTTGGAATTGAGAGGGCGAGAGAATTCTGTTAGATCATCATCAATTGTAATATGACTGCAATGATATGCTTTGTATAACAGGCATTCTCCCTAGAAAACATTTTGACGTGTAACAGTAGGAAAAGCACAGGTGTCCTGGTGTTGTTCATGCTGGCTCACTGTCACCCTGTCACACATGGTGGCTTACAGGGTTAATGTAAACAAGACTAAAACTAAATCTAAGTAAATTTTCAAAACAAAACCCTGTCTAAATAAAACCTTGTGAGATAATGAGAAAGACGGACAAATGGAAAAATGAACCATTCAACAACCTGCATGCATCTGTCGAATCCCACCCTGTATTTTCTTCACTGTTAAAACAATATCCTCTTATATCTTAGAAGTTAGTTTAGCGGCTTGACTTCATTTCATTAATAAGAAGGTTAACTAACATTAACGGACCATTATCAAGGACTGTGGACCTAACATTAATTGTAGCAATGAGCAGAATTAAAGTAGCCAACTACTGCCTTACATCAAAGATGGCAACTAGCCTCAGAATGCTCGAAACAAAAAAACAAACAAAAAATCTAATGCGTGACAAAAATGAAAATTTTCCCTGAAGAAAACTAGACCAAATCTTTAATATTTGTTGACTACTAGTCCAATGGCTATAACAAACTAAAATCCATTTTGAACAAACTAAAATACCTTTTCACCACACGACTAAAACAAAATCAAAGTCAGGTTCTAAAAGCACGACTCATGTTGTCGCAGTTCTGAGGTCTTTGACAATACATAGCCCTAAATATTTGTTTCTGATGGTTGTGTGGCCTGAGAGGAAACTAGAAACCACATTGCAGCAAATGCAAAAGTGCTTGTGCATATTTGTTGGGATATTAAAAGCCAGAGAAGGGAGTGTGAAACTGTACTGAGCAGCTGCTTTGTGGTGGAGAATTTGTTGTTTTCTGTGTGGAAAAAACAATTAGCATCAAATACTAAGGTTTACAGGTGGTGTGTGACTTGAGGAGGTTATAGTTATAGCACTGAGACCGTGCTGGGTAGAAGGAGAAAAATATACCTGGACAAAAAAGTACACACCCCATCCAAGTGGTTATTTGGCAGGAAAACACAATGACTTCTCTCGGGCCATGAAACCATCCAAAGAGGATGTGAAAGAAAAATAATACTTTAAAAAACCCTTCAAATTACCCTATAACCATCTGTTTGTTGACTTAAAACATGTTGTTTCACATTTGGCTGCTGACAAAAGAACAGTTAAGTTGCATGGTATTTAGGATAATTGGCTCACTGTCAGTTAGACAGTGAGCCATAAAAAGGACACAAAAGCAACAATCAGCAACCGAGCCATAAGTTCACACAAATTCTGGCTGCACTTCCACACCCCTAGGCCATACAATGTGTCTATATGTGTGTGTCTGTGTGTTTGTTTGTGTTTGCTTACTCATTAAGGTGCTGGAAGCGCTCCTGCCAGTTGGGAGCCCGAGCAACATTCCCACTCTTATCCAGCAGTTTGATGCCATAGAAGTCCAACATCAGGGAATAGGCCGCCAGGAATCTACGCTTAGCTTCCCGAGTGCTTTGGAATTCCTGACAGGAGTTGAAACAGCAAATCAGAGACCAACAGACAGGTACAACACCACCTCTCTGTTTGGCATGAAAATCCATTTTGGGTGATCAGATGGAGACATAAAAGCTGTGGAGATGCACCCGTCTCACCCAAACCACATCCGAAGTTAGTCAGACGCTCATGGGAATGTATGACTTTCAAGACAATTATACATAACCAAAAAGAATTCAACTGCTGATTATGATTATGTCAAGTTCCCGGCTGTGACGTGGCTGCTAGAGCAGCCATTCTACACAATGCTTGTGATTCCACCAGATGCACCGCAGTTTTGGATGTGGCCCAGAAGTGGCTCTCCAATCTGCTCCACGGAGAATACCCACGCTGCACAGACCACTTCGAACCGAGCAGGATGTCTCAATTCAAGTCAAATTTCAAAACAGAACACCCTGTGCAGACTCCAGATTGTATATCAACAATAAACACTATTACTAATAAACAGACTAAAAACAGTAGTAGGTTACTAGCCTATTTTCCCATGGTAGAATCACAAAAATCAAAGAAAAATGACCAGACGCTATAGAGCCGTGCACAGTGTCATTTAAAATGTAAAAATATCCCTCATGTTAAATGGAATTAAAGTTTTTAATTTGATGGTTGAATGGACGACGTGCTCTATCTTTCAACCAAGGTAAACATTTATGCAATGAGGAGACAAACCAGACATGCAGCAGGTAGCTGCATACTACATGTATAGATTCTAGACGTACTGTACTGTATTTATACGTGTGTCTTACTTTGATCTCTTCCTGAGTCAGTTCATGTGCGTAGAAGTTGAGCCCTTGTTCTCTTAATGGGAACAGCCTGCCACACGGAAAAGGAAGAAAAAAAAAACTGAAGATCAGATGGATGTGATGAAAACACATTTGTTCATTAAATAATAAAGTGTCATTTTACGCTACAAAAGCCCTGTTGACATTAGTAGCATTTCCCCACTCTGTGGAAGCCGGTCCTGGATGCTATCAGAGTTCGGGCTAACATTAGCATCTCTGTCCTGCTCTTTATTGGATTTGGGGAAGTTTATATTGCAGCATCCCCAGCCAACGTTAACCACCTGAGAAAGCAATGTGTTGGGTACCAAACACGTTTGTTAGTCCTTATTCTATAAACTGTTTTATCTGTTAATAATATTAAAAGTGAAATAAACTGAAGTATAAGCTAAACAGCCATACAGAGTTATGCTAGACTGAAATAACAATCTGATTTTACATTTTGCATAATAGGCTACTGCAAAACAACAATGTTGTTTCTATATTCCCATGTCTTCTACATGGATCATATACAGTATTGGTGAGGTTGCTGTGTTTTTGCCATGGACACTGATGCAAATTTAGCAGCAGCGTATAGCACAATATCATGTATGTCACCATTACAAAGTTCCAATTTCTTAAACACTCAAAGATCAGCTAGACAACCAACTCACGGAGCTAAAGTTAGTTAGATAACTACAGTAGCTACTACTGACCGCAACAGTTGTCATTTCAGCAGTCAACATCAGTGTTCCACGGCTTTTGTCTACTTCTGTCTGAGATAAAGGACCCATTGTTTAGAAACTTACTAAGAATTTAGAGTTGTAAGTCTGCCCCTGTTATTCATTGCAAACTGCATATTGCCATTTAAGAACAGTGTTGCGACAGTAACTATAGGGGACGGGCCTTAGCGGTTGAGTCAATTGCAAATCCATTCCAATTCTAAAATGTCCCGCATTCAGGAGGTACACCTGATAAAATCCTCACGTTATTTCTGCTAACAGTAGCTTGACAACTGGGCAGGAAAAAAGAAGCTTTGACATGACATGGCGCTATATGACTATATAAATAAATGTTAGTTACTGTGGCTTGTACCATGCAATTAACAATCCAGTCAATTACCAGGAGTTTGTGCTATCATAAGGTTAATGAAAATGAAAATAGACATGTGAAATTTCTCACCACTGAATGTAGGTGTGATTGTGCTCCAGTTTGTCATAGTCACCTCTCCACTTTGTCAGAATCTCCTCTATATAGATACCTGAGAAGAGACAGGGGCTAATTAGCTGTCACACACATTTCTAGTGTGTATGGACTTGTACTGTGTGTGTGTGTGTGTGAGAGAGTGTTCAAACACTGGATCAGTCCACTAATCTGCTGGTCTTTCCCAGTCAAACATAACCTTTAGCCAAACAAAACTCACTAAGCCCAAAACCAACATTGCTGCGCTCCACAGTGGCAGGAGGTCGGCATGCAAAGTGTGTGTGTGTGTGTGTGTGTGTGTTTGTGATCTCACCATCAGGTACTAGGGGGATCTTGTTCAGGTAGAAGCGCAGGTTACGGTACTCGTTGGGTTGCCGGGACTTCCTGTAGTTCTACACAAAAACACACAGATCACAGAGATCATTCTGGGTGTCTATAACAGCAGAAGCAGAAAACAAATGCGCATTGTGTATTACATTTGTGTGTAACAATGGCACCACAATAAATCAACTTTTTGTTTGAGCGTGTGTGTGTATGTGTGCTTGTACCGGGTAGCTATGACGGTATTTGTAGAGGTCCCTGGCAGCATAGAAACTCCTCTTCATCTTAGGAACAGACTCCGGGGATTCAGTCAGCTGCGAGAGGAAGGAAGACAGACAGACAGACAGACAGACAGACAGAAAGAAGGAAGCAGCGAAGGAAAGAAATAAAAGATAGGGGAAGAAAGACAGTTCAAATGTAGATTAAGAGATGCAGTGTAGCACTCATCTACCGTTCAGATGAACTGAAAGCACTGACTGCTTTTGAGGTTAAGGGCTGTCATCATCCACTTCTTTCAAGCAAAGGAGGACAATTCACATCAGCAATGCTGTGACATCACTACAAAAGGACGCTAGAAACTAGATCTGATTCTCAAATAAAATCTGGGTCATGCTAACTTCTACTGGTCAGAAAGGCTTGCAGTGTTACACTGAGCCTGTTCCTGTTATCTAACTACATTTATGTATACTATATACTAGACAGTCTATTAACAATACCAGAACTCTGGTATCAAAACATTCACCCAGTAACCTCAAGCTATATACTATGTGATGTTTCTTTTCTGTCCTTTAACAGCCAAGTTTGTGCCTTTTGTGATTTTAACCTGATCCTGAAACAACATTGCAAACTGCATCCTTGCTTAGAAAATATAATTTCTGATTGTAATCATGGCATAAATGTTGAGAAGTCAGATTTAACCAATTTCAAATAATCTAACAAAGACTGATCCAGTGAATAACAGTTTCTCAATAGTCCTGTTATAACCTGCTGGTTTTAATATCCTGAAAGTAGTCCAATAACAACCCTCCAGAGAACTACTGTGACAATTCAGGACCATAATAATGAGGCTGTAGTCTAACAGAATATTTTACTTCTTTCATATACCAGCAGGCAGACAGTGTAACTTCCACTGGAAAGCAATGTTGGGAATAGCCAACTGTCTTTATTACTTAATAGAATTATATATATATGTGTGTGTGTGTGTGTGTATATATATATATATATATATATATATATATATATATATATATATATATATATATATATATACATATATCCAGTACATTAAAGTCAATATTGTAGGTATATCTTATATAAATAAATAAGATATAAATATAGATACAATATTAAATAAGATGTAATACTTAAACTTAGCCTATATCCTAAATGTTCGACCAAGCTGCAATTTATGTTAATTAATCTCAAATTTGACAACAATTTTATAATCTCAAAGACTAAAAGTGATGTGATGCCTTGCATATAACCAATGTTACATAAGATAATGATATTTTTGAATGAAGTTTGGCGGTGGCTGTATGCTCAACAGGACAGCAGCATAGTATTGGTTTCTCAGTTGCCCTTTGCGAGTCCTGGCCTCGTCAGTACTCGTGTTACCGCACCATGTTCCGACTCTCCCCACCCCCCATTGTGTAATCAAATGCATGCTACCTACATAACACTCACTGTACCTGCGGGGGCGTGTCTCCGGAGTCTCCGGCGGCCCAGTCGCTCTCCGCCGGGCTGACGGAGTCGGAGATACCGCTGTCATCTTCAGCTGCCGGGTCATCGTTCTCTGAGTCCGACCCCCACGTCGAGTCGCATTCCTCAACGGTGCTCGGCTCCTTGAAACGCCAGCTACCCAACAGATTTCCCATTTAAAAAAACATGCAAAACCTTCTCTCTTTTACTATCCTCTTCTTTTCGCAAAATACTACATAATTTTACTCACAATCTCGTATTTTGGTTTGCAGAGCGCAGCGTTCTCACTGCCCTCAGAGCGGAGCTTTTAAATGGCAGGAAAGGGGGGATTTCCAGTTCAGCAACGATGATGCGTCTTTTGGTATGAGAGGTGATAAGTGTCACAAAGAAGTAGCAGGAGGTCTTAAAGCTATAAACCGTTGAATTTTGAACTGAACAAGTATAACATACCTGTCGACAGTGGGATTTGAAAATAAGGGAAATAATAAGGGACATTTTCAACTTGTTCCTCAGCTGCATTTTATGACAATTTTGAAAAATAGAATGAGCAACCCAGATTTTAGATTACTTTAATTAATTCTAGCAATAATCATTATTGAGCTTGTTTTCCAAGAATCATATATATCGTATGCTACAGTATGTTGTATATCGCTATTTGTTTCTCTGAAGGCTCTAATACTGTTTGTAACCAGTAGCCTACTTTTTAGTCCACAATGTTGCTAACTGATCCCTTCTCCTGATCCTGCTGCTGTGTGGCATTAATCACTCCCTATACAGATTCCCAGTTACCGCAGCATCAGGACCAGAGCTGCATCACGTGACATCGGGATAGGGGGAGCAAAGGTATCCTGTATCAATGTCACTCCAGGAACAAAGGGAGACTGTGAAGTTGGTTTTAGACAGTCCAAGCTAGGACTATCGGTTACTTCTTAAATGTTCTTGCAAATGCACAGATCATTTGCCCTTTCATTGTCATTTCAAATTGGGATTTTTTGTAAAAATATTGTGGAAAGTTAGGCAATGTATTGGTCGGCCATTGTGCAAATTTACTGTCTTAGAAAAATTAGTTCAATCTTTCTTAAAACAAGGTGTCATCACATGATGGCAAGATGGATTTGATACAGTTTGATTACATATTTATTGTTGATTGAAAATCTGTAAAGTTTTGATTTAGAAATATTTTACTGCAAGGTTGTTGTAACACTTTAATTGCTACACACACAAAACTTAACAGATAATTCAATGTGTATTAAAATATGGAAACATTTAAAACAAATAAAATAAAATAAAACATTAGGATATGTACAGTCCGCAACTCTTTAATCCCAAAATGCTGTCTTTCTTTTCAAATGACACTGAATGTGTTTCTGTCAGAGGTAACGTGTTTCAGCAACTATTTCGGCTTGTCTTGACACATTTCAGATGTCTGTTGTTAGCAGTTCCAAAAAACATTTCCCCTTCGAAATATCTCGCAATGTTTCATTTAAGTAACTGTTTTAGGCTGAAAGAAGTCCAAGAATCCAATATTTCACAAAGAATTAAATATAACAGAAAAGTCGTGTGTAGCCAAACTATGTTAACTAACTAACTAACTAACTAAATAATAAATAAATAAATAATCATCCAACCCCATAGACCCCTATATTGGAAACCACTGGACTAAACTACTAAACTGCAGTGGTTTAAAGTGATTAGAGCTAGCTTTACATTGACCAATTACAACAATAAACTGTATGTGCACATTGATGCATCAGTAATAATGTTTATGTTAATATTTCTCCACGTTGGTAATGGTACTTCTCCTTCAGTCAGTAGGCTACTTCTTCCTGATATTCGCATTGGCCTTAGTATCATCATAGATTTTAGTTTTTCGTTTTTGATACAGTTTAGGTTTCCTATTATTTAGGTGCAAATAATTTAGTATCGACCTTCAAAAGCACATACAATCCCAGCCCTCGTAGGGATTTTCTGTTTGGTTAAGCATGAAGGTCGAAACACCATTGCACTGGGAAGAGGACTCACCCGGAGGGGAAACTACAGTTCTTGGCAGCACGATCGACACCAGTGACCTTGATGTGACTCTGGTCACAAGGTGCTGCCAGCCCTCCAGCTGGGACTGCTGCTGCAATAAGTGAAAGCAGTTTAAAAGTGAGTCACAGAGGTCAGGGTGTGATGTGATATCAAAATCAAATGAAACCAGGAAATTAGGTCATCGAGAGTCGATGCTACAGTATGAACCACATAGTCTCTGTGTAATTACCACATACTGGAACTGAAGTCGTAGTATTTCTGATATTTTATATGACCCCATACATTACATTACATACAGTAAAGGTAATTCCAGATGGTCATAACTCAAAATATTTCAACTAGAAGCATCTGGTTAGAGTGCAATCTTTTACCAACAGTTGCAAACTCTATAATGCTTCATGTCTGTCTGGTGGTTTTATGCTGGGATTCATTTGTCTCTAAAAATGAAATTGAATGCAATGTTTTCTGCCACCATATATGTTGTATCTTCCCAGACACAACGACAGCAGAATTCTATGAAGCAGTTATTGTTAATGGTGGAAATCCCAGGGTCAGATGACTGGTATAATCAAATCATCTACAGAAAAATACATTTGAAAATTTGCTGAGAAAAACATGAGGTCCTTCTAGCTTTGTTAGTAGAAGTGAATACAACCAACTTTGAAAGTATCTTTTCCTAATTGGAGGAATGAGGAACAGCCTGTGAGGATATCAGCGTTTCATCTAAATATGAGCCATGTTCCCCAGCACAAAATCAATGGAGACTTTACCACGGTATTTTTCGTTTGCATACTCTTACACCCATTTTGCGCATACAGTGAGTCAGTCACAGGGGTTTTCGGCCAGTAAGCATTTTATTGGTTTCAGTCCAACCTCTTCCCTCTGTGTTCAGGAAACACTACCAGGCTGACTGTATATTGGGAAACAATGACACTCAAGCTGCATAGTGATAGTTTACGCTTTAATTTGGGGGACTGCAACTAATGATCAGTGGTTAATCTGCTGTTTATAAAATGTTTGGTCTACAGATTTTTTTGTCTGACCAACAGTTCAAAACCAAAGATATTCAGTTTACTATCACACGAAGGGAAGCATCAAAAGTAGAACTTAAAGGCAGGGTAGGTAATTTTGAGAAACTAGCAAGAAACTGCTGGATTTTTGAAAGTATCCAACAGAGAAACTCCCACCCCCTCCCTTCTAGGCTCCTTCCAAAGCCACGCCCCCAAAACACGTGAACGCACGTTTGCATGTTAGAGCTTCCATGGTGACAGCATTATTGTCTCTGATGAGGACTGCACCCCAGAGCCAAGCACAGACAGGCCCGGGGTTGAGGCGAAGCAGAGGAGGGAGGGCTGCCGGGGTCTGAGGAAAAAGAGGCAGGACGGGGAGTACGAGGTGCAAGCTAAGCAGCACATCTTCTAAGACCTGCGTCGAGCTTCACGCTCCAACAACAGCATGTGAACAGGTATATTTATACATATTAGTCTATTGTCTCCCAGTGTACTTGTCTCAAAGTTTCTCTGGTGTTTCCCCCTAAGCCCTTTGACTGTCAAAAATAAAGTGCTTTATAAATGTAATCCATCAATTTTGTTATGACTTTTTTATTATCGTTTACTGATTACAACAGCTAACTACAGCTCTGCTTCAGCTCATCTGTGTCATGGTGTGTAATGTGGACACAGAAGTCCTGTTAGAGAACAACAAACCCCCGTTCAATAAAAATATCTAATCATGTTGATGAATGTTCTTTCCAATTACACAGATCTTTCTCATTTGGGTGTGGACAACATCCAGACAACTGTGTTTCCATGCACCACACATGGCTGATCTTCCAGACCCAGGACAGAGTAACAGTCAGTTCAGTGAGGCAGCATACAGACAGTTTGTAGTGTGGCAATGTGGAGCACTTGGTCACGGAGTCGTGATACTGAGTTGCTGTTTCTGAAAGATATGCAACTCAGTTGCAGAGGTTTAATCCTAGCAGGGTGGAAGATGTAATGTCACCAACTGCTACACAAATAATTCCATCCACTGTGTGGATGAATACCTGTACATTGTTAGTTTTATGCCCAGAAGGGTAGAGAAAACACAAAGATATTTTCCCTGTTCTGGAGAATATTTTCATTCTTTTTTAAATAAAACATTCTTTCTTTACACTTTCAGCATAAACAAACAACTACATCTATGTCTTATGTCTCCAATAATGACATCCAAATGTGCTATAACACTTGTTTATTGTTATTAAATACTACTAAAACTACAACTTATATCACAAATAGAAATCGACAGGAATCGACAAGGTGTGTCCAGATGTATCTTGACTGATTATGAAGACAGTTCAGACTTGCATGTAGCATCATATCGCTGCTGTGGACATGATTACCACATTTCAAAACCAACCATATTACTTTTTGTTGTACGTTTTTCTGTATCTAGCATTACAGTTGGGGCAGGGACACCTGACTGAACCCATGTTGACGTGGATCATCAGGTCTCCTGGTTCTGCTTCTAGGCATCTCCTCAGTAGTAGACAACCATCAGAGGAGGAGGTCTGCGATGTAACTGTAGTCCTTCTCCACCTTCAGTGAGTACAAGCTCCACTTCCTGGACTTTTTGTTGTACAGCTTGCTGTACCTTATAATACAGAAAGTAGGATCAGCTGAGTGAAAAGTTTGTAATACCTGACATTGTTCTCTTATAGAGTAATTAGTAAACTATTTCCACATAAAATGCAATCAAAACAATAAATCAGCACCATCTATCTGTATTCATCATACTGTTTAATATTTTTTGACTCACTTATAAACGTATTGAGTAAAATGCATAGGAGTACTCATAATGCAACATACTGAATTGTGTCATCAGCTTTTCTCCTGGCTGAACTGTGGACATGGTGGTTGTAATCCAGGCCAACCAGCATGGTTCAGTGTATACTGGTGAGAAGTACAGGGTGTTGGAAGACTGCAGGTGACCTGAGGGCACAGTAGAAATAAAACATACAGGATTTTTTTTACTTCTGGTAAAATAAGTAATGGCATAACACCAGTTACAGTAAAAGGTTTTCACACAGTAGGTTTAGCTATGAACAATGTCAAACTATCCTTTAGCCATCATTGTTTATGTATACTAACGTTGAAATGTCTTTCTCATAACTACAAACACACAGCTACATCACCACATTTGTAAAAGTAACATACAGTCAAACATCAACTGCAGACACAAGATCCAGCAGAAAAGCCCCTCGGTGTTCCTCAGTTGTCACTATCGTTGAAAAGCCATGCAGATA